ATTAATTTTATTTATATTGATTGTTAATAATAGTTAATATTTGATAAAACAACAAATTTTTATTATTTAATAAGTTAGAATCAGTTTAGAAGTTAAACGTTGTCAACTACGTGTGAGTATAGTTATTTATTATTTTATTAAAATTATTAAAATTTTATTTAAAAAACATTAATTTAATTTATATTAATTGTTAATAATAGTTAATATTTGATAAAACAACAAATTTTTATTATTTAATAAGTTAGAATCAGTGTATAAATTAATATTTTTATATGTTATAATTATATATTTAAAAAAATAATTAATTAAATTTTAGTGATATTAACAAAATAAACGGTGGTTATAACCACACTTGTCAACTATTATGTGGCAAGTGATGAGTTGTATTTTATATATTTTAATTTTTTTATTTTAATTTTGATTTTATTCATATTTGGATAGGTAGAATGTGATTTTTTTATTGATTTTACATAATTTTTATTTTTTGTATAGAGAATAACTTGAGTGCATAAGAATAGAAGCTTTATGAGTTGTTGCATAATTTTTAAAACTATAGTTCTAATAAAACATCTTTTTCCTAGAAAGGAGACAGTACCAAAATTACTAAACTCGAATTCAGCATAAAACTGACCCGTTTGGCTTCTTAATTGAGAATTAGAGGATTGGTAATGGAGCAGGGTGGCATCTAATTCCATATAAGCAACAAAATAACCATAATTATCAACAGAAAATGAATATAAACCCTCACTCCAATTTGTGAGCGACATCCTTGCCACTAATTTCTGTCCACAAAATGACAGTCAAACCGTCTCATTGTTTCCATCAAATAGCAGAAGGTTACCTTAATTAATTAAGGTTCCTTGGCATCATCAAGGAGTTAGCCAATTTGGGCATAGACTTTGATGATGAAGTGAATGGTCTGATTCTTCTCAATACCTTGCCGGAATCATGGGAGAGTTTTAGATCAACAACAATAAACTCATCTCCTAGTGGTCAAGTCACACTGGAAATTGCCAAAAACAGGATCTTTGAAGAGGAAAAAAGGATGCGGGCACTTGGAGTCTTCTTGCAACCAGATACTCAAGCTCTTGTCATGGAAAATAGAGGCAGGAGTAAAACCAGAGAACCCAGAGGACGAGGAGGCAAATCCAGATCAAAGTTCAAAAGTGGAGTGAAATGCTATCATTGTGGCCAGCTAGGCCACATGAAAAGGAATTGCTACTTGTTGAAAGGAAAAGACAAGAAAAAGGTTGAAGATGGCAATACAACCGCTGTAGCATCTACCAGTGGCGGTGACGTGACTCTACTATGTGATCGTGGGGAGTACTGCCATGTAGAAAACTCGGATGCCGAGTGGATAATTGATTCTGGTGCCTCTTATCATTGTGTTCCCAAAAGGGAATATTTTTCAACATACAAAGTAGGAGACTTTGGCACCATAAAAATGGGAAACAAGAGTGTTTCTCATATTATGGGAGTTGGTGATATCTGTGTCCAAACAAATGTTGGGTGCACATTGACACTAAAAAATGTGCGACATGTTCCTGATATGCGTATGAACCTGTTGTCTGCAAAAGCACTAGATGAAGAAGGATACGCACACTACTTCGGGAATGGCAACTGGAAACTCACCAAAGGATCAATGGTGGTGGCAAAAGGGAGAGCATGTTGCTCATTATACAAGACACACATGAAAATGTGTGGAGGTCAACTAAACACAGTTGAAGATGAGGCTTCTCCAAATTTATGGCATAATAGATTAGCTCACATGAGTGAGAAAGAATTGCAACTTTTGGCTAAGCAGTCCCTTATTCTCATGGCCAAAGGTGAATATGTGAATCCTTGTGATGTTTACCTATTTGGAAAGCAACACCGAGTTTCTTTTCAGAAGAATTTGACTCGGAAGGAGAACAAGTTAGACTTGGTCTACTTTGACGTTTGTGGTCCCCTGGAGGTACAGTCATTTGGTGGCAATAAATATTTTGTTACCTTTATTGATGATGCAACTCGGAAGACTTGGGTATACTTGTTGCAGAATAAAAGCCAAGTTTGCAAGTATTTTCAGCATTACCATGCTATGGTGGAAAGGGAGACAGGGTTGAAGTTGAAATGTCTTCGTACAGATAATGGAGGGGAGTACACCTCCAAAGAATTCAGAGACTACTGTTCCAAGCATGGCATGAGGCATGAGAAGACAGTTCCTGGCACTCCACAACACAACGGTGTTGCAGAACGGATGAACCGTACCATTGTGGAGAAAGTTCGATGCATGCTAAGAATGGCAACTCTACCTAAGCCATTCTGGGGTGAAGCAGTCAACACAGCAGTTTATTTGATCAACCAGTCACCTTCAGTTCCTTTGAATTTTGAAATCCCAGAGAAAGCTTGGACGGGAAAGGATGTTGGATACTCTCACTTGAGAGTGTTCGGGTGCAAAGCATTTATGCACGTGCCAAAGGAACAGAGATCAAAGCTGGATGATAAAACTATTCCATGCATTTTTGTTGGATATGGTGATGAGGAGTTTGGCTACAGACTATGGGACCCAGAAAAGAAGAAAACTGTCAGAAGTAGAGATGTCGTGTTTCATGAACACGAGAAAATTAATGATTTGAAGGAGGACAAAGCTACAGGAAGCTCTGGAGAGGGTGTAGAAGATTTAACACTGGCAAAAACTCCTTCAAGAAAAATTACAAATGAAGAAGAGGTGCAAGCACCAGAAGATGAGACAGAGGAGCCAACAATTGAAGAAGATGAAGCAAGTGTAGATGGGGGAAATGATGAGCAGGGGGAGCAACCCCTGCCACAGGAGGAAGAACCTCAGTTGAGAAGGTCCACCAGAGAGCACAAACCATCTGCAAGATACTCCAATTCTGATTATATCTTGATCACTGAAGAGGGGGAGCCGGAGAACTTCCAGGAGGGGCAGTCTCACAAAGATAAAAACTGCTGAATGAAGGCTATGCAGGAAGAAATGAACTCCCTACATAAAAACAATACTTATGAGCTTGTGGAACTTCCCAAAGGAAGAAAAACCCTGAAGAACAAATGGGTGTTCAAGCTCAAGAAAGATGGTGATAAGATAGTTAGATATAAGGCTTGGCTGGTGGTAAAGGGCTTCAGTCAGAAAAAAGGGATTGATTTTGATGAAATATTTTCCCCAGTGGTGAAGATGAGCTCAATTCGAGTTGTGCTCGGTCTAGCAGCAAGCATGAATCTTGAGCTTGAGCAGTTAGATGTGAAAACTGCATTTCTCCATGGTGACTTGCATGAGGAAATTTATATGGATCAGCCAGAAGGTTTTGAAGAAAAAGGGAAGGAGCATATGGTTTGCAAGTTGAAGAAGAGCTTGTATGGACTAGAGCAAGCTCCAAGACAATGGTACAAGAAGTTTGATTCTTTTATGATGAGTCATGGTTACCAAAGAACAAATGTAGATCCATGTGTCTACATCAGATCATTCCCTGATGGCAACTTCATTATCCTTTTGTTATATGTTGATGATATGCTGATTTTGGGACAAGATGTTGAGAAAATTTGCAGGTTAAAAGAGGAGTTATCAAAGTCCTTTGACATGAAGGACTTGGGACCA